TAGCCAGTCATCAAGGCTACAGCAAACCCCCTTTCTGGGACAAAGCAGGATTTCCAAGTGAACTTAAAAAAATAATATACCGCAATCAAACTGCTACCAGCTTCGACTGTTATGCAGCAGACCCTGTCTGTCAAAAAATAATGACAAGCAGTAACCGTTAGCAAACAAAACCTTCTCCTTGCTGGAACCCCAGGTGCAGCAAGAATGCATAGAAACATGCCAGCCACACATACACCTGCCACATACCTGCACGCCGGACTCGTTCTCCGAGGTCAATGAATGCCTATGGCATCTATTTGCGACAGATGATGAAATACTCATCCCTTGCAATGTTTCAGTTGTTTCCGAATATCGACATGTGATGCCCTTGAGTATAATAGTTGATCGCAGTACTCCACACTCACCATAAGTAGTCAGCGCTCAAGCATAAGTAACGTTTGTTAACTACATAGTAAGATTTCGAGGAACAATCAATCCATTCATCATTGCTTGGCCTCCGTATGCCAAGGACTAAACTTTACACTTTACTCGGTAGATAGTACTTCTTCTACTAAGTTTGCTCAAAGCAAAGCAGCTTGGGTTACGATGACATTAGCACGGGAGATCATGGTGACTAGTATCCATAGAGAGTATGGCACTTATTTGATATACATATGTGATAGGCTCGTTTAGCCTAGTATACTGATTAGTACAATCGTGTTCAAGTTTATCTAGTCTAGTTGCACTGCTATTCTAGCTAACATCAGATCGTCAGTCACCCTTTGTCATGGGATCATGTGAGAGTTTCATCATAGTAGTTAGTCAATAGTCGCCTAGATGGCATAACTAGGTAACCAGTAGAACTGATTTGCTTACAAAGGGATCAAAGGGGTAAACTATGTAGTTAGGGTAAGTAGGATGAGTGTAACATAACCAAGTCACTGGATAAAATGTTAACAAAGTATATAAGTCCAGTGTGTGAAACAGCATGCACGCGGATGAAACTGTTACACGTTAGGTTTCCCGGCGGTAGTACAACAGTCTGTACGACAACTGAAGCCTGTTTACAACTCACGGCAGCAGGGAACAGATTTCAACAGATCTAATCACATCATCATCATCATTGCTATCAATGCTGACAGCTGTAGGCTGTTTAGTTTCAACCCCACCAGCATTCCAAAACCAACTCATTATCAGAAACCTCCGACTGGCGGAATAAGAACCGATGTTACAGAATCTGACACCTGAATTGTTGCAAAAATGACAATCCATAAGCTGACAGCATCACCACAACGACATGGAAAGAAAACTGTAACAGTCTTTAACAAAAGGGGAAAGAAAAAGGGGGGGGGAGGAATTGGGGGAAGAGAAAAGATTGGCGCCTAGAAAGAAGAAAACAACCAGAAGGACTACCGAATAAGCCTAGACAGACTTGAGCTCGGAAAGAATGCCTAAATAGTCAATTAGTGAGAATGGATGGATAGTGGTTAAAAGAGCAATCCCTGACAGGGCAACAAGTGACCCGTGCAAGCACGTGTCTTTTCAGGTTGAAAAGTGGCCCCGGCATGCATAATCATCCTGGGTGGGCGGCGGAGCGTTGCGGCCGCCGCGGGCCAAAATCCAACCAGCAATTGGATTATTATTTGTTTTATCCATTGTAACTGAGCAGTAAGTAGTAGTGGTTACTAAATAGTTATCTGTCCTTGGTCTTCTGGTTGGTGGTTCTCATGTATGCAAAATTTCCCCCTTCAGATGTCTGTCAGGTGGAAAAAGAAAGAACTATTCCAACCAAGAAAATACTTGCTTGGTCGGGGGGAATTGATCCTGGTAGGATGGAAAAGGATCTGGCCTTCGTTAACAAATCTGTTACGATGCACTTTACCCGTTTGTTAATCTTCTTCCGAGATCCATCGGATCAGAGTAGTTAGGGTTGGTCAGGATGGAAAGTCAACGAGTGAGTGGTCGCGTCGGCAGCGCCATCGTTGCTACAAATCAATGCTAGGATTCTTCAGTCCCACACGGCTATCCAAATTTGTTCGTTAATATTGTTAAAATTATCAAGTCGCTAACGCGAAAATAATCATGATGTCAAAGAGTCAGTCGCTAATAGCCTAATAGAAAGCCTGAGACTAGGCTAGACGGGTCCTGGAATCTTTCCGTCTCCCTAAGGGGGAAAGAAAAAGAAAAAAGGTATAACTATTTCTTTTTGGTTAATAATTCGATATGTTAATATCTGATTTGACTTTTCTTGATCAACAACTGCTTCCTTCTCCGCCCCTTAGTCTAACGGACGGATTCCGTCAGAAAGGCAATTTTTCTGCCTTGTGTCATCAGGAGACGTGAGGTGACCCATCTAGGAAGCTCAGCAAGTCAAGCAGCATCTGCCGCGGTTCTTCCGTGGGATGTCGGCATGTCCGGGCAGGGCTCTATGTGGGCTGGCCTGTGGATTCGGGCGTCAGAATTTGAGTGGGTGACCCGTGAACTTGGGTAAGGGATGAAGCAGGGTACTTCGCAGTGGACGTGCCCAGTTTCATCATTACTCCGGTTATCGTTATCAGTTCCTTCTATTTTGTTAGCAGCTCAGTCGGCCGGATTTTGGTTTAACAACGAGAACCACGGATGGCACTTCCTCCGCTGTAACCTTGATTCTTGTTTGGACCATTTAACTTATTCAGTTCCAGACAAGGGGCCCAGTTATAGGCGGTTCACAGATAGCCGAGACCACTCGAAACGGATCTGGAATACGGATTCAGCTCACCTTCACCCCGGTAGCCTCTGCGTATGTACTGATTTTGATTCTGCATAAGAGAGATCAGATGGCACCGGGCGGAGCAGCGAACGCAAATAATCGAACCAATAACCCGTAGCTCGGGCTGTTGATCTTGGATGCAGCTGCAGGAGAAAGTAACAGTCATTGGTATCAGATCAGCAGGGCTTATGCAGGCGGGATGGTTAGTATTTGTGTTTGGTTTGAGGAGGAGCAATACTGTAGTGGTGGTGGGAGCTTTTCCGCCACCACCAAGCGGGCGCGTTCGCTCAGCTCCATCGTCCGGAGTCTTTCGGCAGATACATTTCGTACCGAGCACCGACTTTCAGTAGTGAAAAAAAAAAAATCAGAATAGATGAGTAAATAAAAGTTACCGATTGAGTTATGTATAGTATCTACGGAGCGAATCCACCCAGAACGAGGATGTGAAATAACTGAGTTCGGGGAGGTCGCCGTCCGGAATCCCGCCAGAAGATTAGTGGCAGAAAGTAGTAAAGGCAGTCGCAGTCATAGTGGAGTGGCCCTAAGGGGTGTTCATTTTAATCGAGCCGGGGCGATTTCGTTTTCGGTCACGATGTGGTTTTTGCCCCCCCTCCATCGTCCTCTCCCTCTCACCTCATTATTATTCCTCATTCCTCCTCTTCCTCTTCCTCCTCTTCTTCTCCCCGTTCTCGCTTCCCATGGGTCGAGGCCGCCTGGAACTGTATCCGGACTGCCTCACTTTCGCTTCCCTCCTCCTCCTCCCCGCCCCCTCCGACTAGCGTTTGTTTCACTTCGCCTCCCACGCTCTTTCCCTTCCCCATTATATTACCATGTCCATATTAATCGCGTCTCTGCCCCGTCCGTGATCGATCTGCGTCGCCATTGTCGTATGCAAGCATGCAAATCGTTGTTGCTAGCTGTACCAGATCGATGACAACCCAATCTTCGCTGCCAAAATGGATATGATGTCAAACGGGCCTGCGACTTTTGCGCCTGCCGCAACTTCAGGCTCCGATCTCCATTCGACTACCAGTTCGACCGGCCCAACCCTCGCTGCGACATCTACCTCTTCTTTAACCTCCCTCAATGACTACTCCAACTTTCCCCTGATCCGCCAGGGCGATCGCACATATCTTAGAGACCCCGAAAATAACTACCCTCTGCCCTGCGATCTTCAGGAGATCCATCGTCAGACCCTGCGCTCGCTCATGCTCATGCGCGTGTTTGGGGGTCCATTCTGCAACCCCCACCTCGCCGACCGACCCCCAAAGCGGGTTCTGGAAATCGCATGTGGTTCAGGCCTCTGGTCCAGTATGAGCCATGAATATTTCACTCGGCGCGGCCACCGCAACGTGTCTTTCCACGGTATTGACATCGTCTCCGTCGCCCCCGATCTGCGCAAGAAAGGTGTCCATTGGCAATTTCGAAGGCACGACCTTCGGAAGCCCCGCCTGCCTTTCCCCGACGACTATTTCGACTTTGTCTTCATTAAGGACGCAGGAATGTGTCCAGCTAGTCCGGCGCTGCAAGCGTCCGGGTTAAGCGAGCCACTGAGGGTGCTCAAATCCGGCGGAATTCTGGAGATTTGGGACTCTGACTGGGTCTTTCGATCTTTGCTTCCCAACCCTGCACCCGCTCGCAAATTGGCGTCAAGGGAACAAGAGACGGCCGATGCGACCGCAACTTACACCTTTTCTTCTGCAACTCCATTCACACGAGTTCAGAACAAGTTTCTCCAGGACTATAACTCCTGGGTCGAAAAGGCTTTTGACCGACGCAAATTGACAGCCTTGCCGTGTGCGACAATTGGTTTGTCTTTCAACTCAGAAGTCGATGTACTAGAGAATGTTGATAGTCGCCGCATCGCTATCCCGCTAGGCGAACTACGGTGGGAACGTGAAGGTCATGGGAAGGATCCGGTCGGCGCGTCACGCAGACAGTTGACCGCAGATCAATTGTCCATCCGGCGCACGGCCCTTTTGACCGTAGTTCAGATGATTGAGGGCATGGAGCATATCCTCATGGAAGCTAGCGGTAAGACCAGAGATGAATGGGACAGGTGGTGGGCTGCCATGATTGCCGATCTGTTCCAGAAGGGAAGCCTCGCGAATGGGGAGTGCTTGGAAGTAAGCGCTTGGTGGGGACGAAAGAAATGAACCGTCTTTCAGCGAAGAGGATACAAGCTCAATTGCCGGTATTCTGGCGAACGCGGGAAAGAAAAAAAAAGAAAAGACACGGAAAGCGTCGTGACCATTGGTCTCTCTTATATTGGTGATACCCCACTTTTTCTCCTTTCAGTTTTCGCATATATATATTCCTTGGTGTAATATTCTTGAGAACGTGTTATTAAGGCTCCATGGTATTTTCAACGGCCGGGATCATTTAATTTTCATAGCGCTGTTTCAGAGTGCGATATCGCTTCAGATAGTACCTGGGCGCTTTTGGTCAGCATTGGCGCTGACATTGTCGAGCCTGATTTATCTCGATAATTATGAGACGATGAGTATTCGGATACACATGGCTGATCGGCAGAATCAAATATAGATGAACTAGTATCAAGCCTTGCGGGGCTGGGCCTTAGACTTTCACATGCTTCACCGTTTGTAGATAATGAATTGCAGGCAGTCTGGCGCCGACGTGATTCCGGTAAGGGAGGGGCACACGGTTACTCACAATGCTTCGATTTCTGTAGAACAAAGCCCGTTGATCAGCTCAATTTCAATATCCTGGCAAACAATAGAACGATGTGTCAAACGTACCCTTTTTGACAAATTCCGCTCTAGCAATACCTTTTCGGATCTGTTCCTCATTATCCAGATGCGCTTGGCTGGAAAACGCTTTATGTAACCTGTTCCGATAATATTCGTAGCCTAGGGGGTAATTGCGACCAAGGAAGAGTAGCTCTACCGATGGCGTTGGAGTCAGCTTGCTGGCTGCGATACACTTGGTCCAGAAAAGAAATGACAGGAAGGTAGTAGCATGCGTGAAGTCAGGGTGATGCACATACCCTTGTATATATGTATGACCTGCGCGCGAAGTTCCGGATTCGTCATATTGGATAGTGTTGCCAGTCAATGGAATAGGGGGCCAGGACTCTCCGAAGGAGGTGGGAATGTGGAGGAGGAAGAAAGTTGTTTGTCTCTCAGCTCTAGGAAGAAGTTAGCCGGAACACAACTAACAACCGGTGACGTCGCACGGGCGGAATCCTTACTTGTTGCCGCGGAGGGGTAACCGTCCAGTAAGCACTTATTATACTAGCTGGTGTATAAGTCGGGGATTTATGATGCTAAGTAGGATTGGATGAATGACTCTTTTTGGGAAATTCTCAAGAATGAAAAGATATTCTTCGAAATCTTGGTGCTTCAAATTATTTGATGATTGTAATGGGTGGAGATATATCCGAGTGTCTTAAGTCGGTTACCCCGAGAATTTTCTTGAGATAATGACGTTAGATTTGCGCAGTGTCTAGTATAATACATCTAAATCGACTGCACTGGTTAGTTATGCTGGTCAATAGGAGGATGCATAAAATACTGAAACACATCTATCCAATTGTGAATCACAGACTTAGGTTGCTGAGCGATCATCTTGGTTGATATTCAGATGTATATATTCTACTTACTAGCCTCAATCAATCCATGGCCCGAAGCTGGAACAGCTACTAAGTAGTAGCGTAATGGTAATCAGTAACTCCTGAATATTGTGAATATTAAGCATTGTATACAGACCATCACAAATCAAGTATCGGATTTCATCATAGGGCTTATTGTAGAAAGCAAGTATAGGGGTAGTTAACAAGCAAGCACCGGCCATGTCAGCTTGCGGAGAGAGGGAAACAATGCGCGGGGCTAGCCGAAGCTCCAACCGCCCGGACAACTAGCCGAAGTGAGAGAAGCTCCTCGGCTGGAAACAACGACATCCTGACAATTGACAATAACTAGCTTCCCCTATTTTCATATTATGATAATGTCGCTTCAAAGACTTGGAAGGCGACCCCTGGCTGGATTTGCCGCTCAATCTTCACCACTTACCACCCGACTCTTCTCCGTCTCGACCGCATTCCGAAATGCCCCCGTTTCCGCCCCCGGAACAACGCCAAAGAAGCCTCACACCATTGATCCGCGATGGCTGACCATGACCAAGCGAAGAATCGGCAGATGCATGATGTTCGGCTTAAAGCCCCCGCAGATCCAAGAAGCTGGGGAGATCCTACAGCAGATTGCAAGGGATTGGCGAGAATTGATCGCTGGCAGCGAAGGCTATCTGACAGATGAGACACGAAGGGGGCTATTCCAACAGAGCGTTGCGTGGGGAGAGATGGTATGATATATAGTCACCTGGTGCATGGCAGCTTACATATAGCATGATGCATAGATGCTAATGTAGGCGCTTGCATTGAACAGGATAGCATGGTAAGCCAGGAACTTCCAAGCAACAAGTGATGTCGACTAATTCGTGAGTCTAGGGTGTGTATATCTTAAGCAACATCGTCTCAGTGAACTGCAGCAAGGGGTCTAACATCATGAGCGTCTGATTAGGACATGTGAACAACGTCACATACCCCCGATATGCAGAGACGGCGCGCGTGTACTATACCCGCAACTTTGCCATGCATATAGACCCGGCCCATAAGACAGAGTGGTTGAATCTTGTCAGCTCAAAGGGCATCGGACTCATTCTTCGAAGTATCAAGATTGACTACAAATTTGTACGGTCTTCTCAGCTGAGATACAGGACTGATTGCTAATACCCCGTCTCTCTTTGCAGCCCATGACCTACCCCGATAAAGTTACGGTATATCATAAGCTGGTTCACGATCCGACATCCCCTGATGCACCTCGTCATGGGTTCTATCTCCATGCGATGATAGTCTCCGAGGCTCGCCAACGGCCCGCTGCCCGCGTTTCCGAGGACCTGGTCATTTATGACTACAATGCTATCAAAAAGGCGGAGCTTCCGCCGTTTATCATGGAACAATTCAAATCCACCTGGGATCTTCAAGAGAAAGCTAAGAAATATTGGCAGGAGCGCATCCTCGATATAGAAACGAGGGTCCGCACATTGGAAACAGAGAGCTGGGACCGGGAAGGTGCGGTCGAGGATACCGGATCTGCGAAGCAGTGATGGAGCAGGCTGATTTCCCGCTTTCGGGCAACTTTGCAGACCGACAGATCTAAGATCGACAATGTACATAGTAAATGAGGAGGATCGAGCGTAGGGCACTGGCATAGATTCTGCTACCAAGCGCGTACTGTAAGCACAGGGGTGCGGTAACGTATGGAAGCTTACTGGTAATATATCGATCTACACGGCATACAGTATGCGTATTGATACTAGCTGTATTCCGTCACTTCAAGTCTTTCTGGGCGACATAAACGTTCATGAGGAGGCTCATCATCACATCTTGAACATAATCTTCTTTGTACGTCCTTGCATCCATACTTTAGATCTGGCATAACCTGAGACCTCTTCATCACCCCGCACCCCCCAATATCTCACCCCAGAATGGCATTTGGTCTTTCAGACATGCTTTGGAATGAGGTCAGATCAACGATGGCCATTATCTGTCCGAGACTACAACGATCAAGGTCGAAACACAATGCAAGCAATTCAGGTCATACAGAGCTTAAGTTTTTTACTGTCTTCATAAGGTCGCTGACCAAAGACTGCTACAAGCTTCCCACCAATTGCGTCCAGCCTCATATCGGTTTCTGGCTTCATCTTACACCACTAATTGATAGTGCCTTACTCCTCAGAACAAGTGGGCGAGACCGAAGAACACTTTTGAGATGTCTAAACTTCAGATGTCCTCCGTTCGGCGACACCATGACCATCCGGGTTGGTCTAAGACATGAGTTGCAACCCATGAAGAAATAATACTGACGCCAGATCTAAACATGCTGCTGTTCTCTTTCCTGGAGAAGATATCTGCCCATAAGTCTCTTCAGCTTGTGCTGTGGCCCTCCTACATCTCCCTCCATCAATCATCAGAATAGCACCAGCGCAATTTACGTTGACTGCACGAAAGCTTCTGCATCCGTCTGCAAAATCTTTAGCCCGAGATTCTCAGTGGAGGTGTAGTGTCGATGCTTTGAAAATCGGTATGTCAATTGAAGAGCCCCGTTGACTCGGCTCGGTTGTCGGCAGCTGATAATTACTACCTCTTGAGGCTGAAGCTCAGGTCCACAACCGCCATGTGATGCTTGGCTTAGCTCTCTTTACTATGGAACTGATACTCAGGCACAATGCTTGGCTGCTCTCAACTTCATCAGCATACAGGTATACAGATGAGTTGATAGCCACGCTGGCCAGCCATCTCGAGAAGTTTCACACATAGTTTGTGCAGTAACACAAAATCATGGTTGCCGTGGAATCCGATTGCAATTTGTTGGTTCGTCACGGCTTGACCCGCTCCATTTGCGCCACAGAGTCTCTTCTAGACCCTCCCGCCTAGTGCCTCTGATCGGAAGCTTTGCCGGATCGGTATCAGTTCCAGTGTCCCAGTGAATTGCTTGGTTTTCCAAGCTTTGACGCCGGTCTTGGGTTATGAGGCTCACCACAGGCAAAAATGTTCACCTACGAAAGACTGCAGGGTAACTACATCTTGTCTCGCGCTGTAATACTACTAGCATCAAGGGTCCAATACCCTGTGTTACAGCCACAACGACACGACAAATGGACGGGATATCCCTGGTAATCATCTGACAAGGCTTGCGGGGCTCGACCGGCAAACCCTTCAATTTAGTCAACGCGTCTGTCCACTTTAGGGTAGAAACGGTCGATCATCCATCCGATTCCAAGGCTAGTCGATCTCTGTCCGTGAAAACGGCAATCAAGTCAGGATACTTGCCTATCGAGCTGCAGCCCGCCCGATATCCGGCGTATGGCGAACATTCTAATTAGCCTGTGATTCTAGGTGAATTGTCTGAGAAGCGACAATCAAAGTATCAATCGCCCCTACGGGGCAGACCAGGCGAGAAAAGTGATGATTTTGCTAGTGTGGAGATGCTTCGGTGAAATACCGCTGTTTCGTATGATACAGTATTTCCTATATATAGCTGGGCAACAGCTGGGTATTGAAGCTTATCTAATCTCACACCTATTGCCTTACCACAAGATGTCGTCGTCGTCAGTCTTTGACAATATTCTGATGGAGACGGGCAATCCCCCAGATTGTCGGTGTCAGCTTGCTTTTTTTCTCAGGTCTCGTGAATTGCAATTTTGGTCCTTTTAATCTCCATTAAGCAGGGAACCAATGGCATGACAATGATCTCCTTACAGGGTGCTGTTTCGGACTTGGCACGTATAAGCATTACGAGCATCATTTATCGGCTGTACAACCTCCCACGCAAGTGTCAACTGACAAGTCCAACGGGGCCTCCATATGACTAGAGAGCTGGGCAGGGTATGCTTATCTTGACTTGCAAGTCACGAGCTAGACGACATATGGGCTTCTTCGTCTGCCCGTTTTGAACTCTACGCAATCCAGCTGATAGAGAGATAACCAACCGGGTTTATGGAATATGGACGGCACATATGACTACCCACGGCCTGGTAGCTGCCAATGAATTGGTGATGATGTTGACCATGGTGAGTTTTCACAGCTCTGCCCAGGGAATTGCCCACGCGAACAACCAAAAGCTATCCCGTGAAGGATGGGATCGCCAGATCGTCCTGTCTAGTTTGGGCCCTAAAGTCCTGGATTACCCGATAAAGCACGACCCCGGGTCTTGTCAGTGGTTAGCGGGTAAGACGTGATATGTAGGGTGACTGCGTGAGAAGGAGGGGTAAACGGACATTAACTGGCGCTGATTTTCTGCGAGCCTATGAATGATGGCTGCAATAGGAGGGTAAGGTTAGAATGAACACGTAGTCCACCCCCGGCTTACGAGGCCGGCGTTCAGCAACGATCAGTCCATAAGTGCTTTAGACCGGGAAGCTTAAGGTCTGGTTGTTGCTAGGTGACGGGGTATTACAGCTAGCCTACATGCGCAGATTGGTTGACATAGTTTTCTCTATTGATCTGTTGGGGAAAGTCAAGTGAAGATTTGCTTTTGTTTGCGTATGAGCATGTCAAGGAAAAGAACAGCACTGACTACATGAAGACGGGCGTAAGTTGCATTGCGTTGACAGGAGGCTTAGATCCCAGCAGCCTGCGTAGAGCCGTCAAATAAAGAAACACTAACTGTTCGAAGCAACTAGTGGCTGAGATTAGCCCCCATCTCAATGCCTCGAGCCGGTGCCGGTGCCAGGAAGCAAGCTTACTCTTGAATGATGTGGCTGAAGAGCCAGGTGTCAATTCATGCCCGTAATAGTCCTGTTTTGTGGACACGGTTGTTTGAAGATCCAAGCAACTTCAACCTTCACCTGAATAAGAGGTCCCATTGGTCTCTTTAGCATCCACGATCTCCGTGGCTGGTCTCAACCTCCAGATCGCCCCAAAAATCGGTCGAGGGAAAGGGAATCTGGATAGCCAACCAGCCAACCGGAAGACAGCGCAGTGAGGGTACGTCATGTAATGTATGATAAATGTCAGTAAGGAACCTCCTGTATCTGACAGGGTATGTATGGTACCGTGACAGGGAAGGGTAATATATTTAGTGCCTAAGGCACCGACAGCCGGATTGGCTGGAGGTTGGCCGCCTTGCTGCCTTAGCGGGATTCCCTCTCGACGATCCGTTTCCAACCTTTCGTCGTTTCGTCTTTTTCCCGCCTCGTCTATCCAGACCCAAAAGTCTACCAAACCTCATTCATTTTTCCCTTCTCTTTCCTCCCACCTCTTCCCCCGCCACCCTCTCTTACTCACCCTCTTCCATATCCAATCCGATTCACTCTGACTTTCCTTTCCTTAACCTAGTCCTTACCTCTACCGATTCTCTATCCTGTCTTGTCATTCCTTTTCCCGTTCGCTTCCTGGGTGCTACCTCCCCTCCCTTTCCTTTCCCACTCTCATCACCCCTTCTTCTCCCCTCTCCCACCCCCCAACTCTTCTACTTCCCCGACGCTGTCTCCGTCCTCAATTCTCGCCTGGTCCAAGTCCTTGGCTCCTTCCTGCCAAGCTGACTCGGACCTGGGTGTTAGGCTCCCTCGTCCATGCCACGTTCATCGGCCACGGCTAGGAAGAGTCATAGCAATCGGCATGAGAATGGTCTCGTCGGTCCCGGAAAGAAAGTGAACAAGCAAAAGTCCAATGGAAATCTGAATGGGAACACCAACGGCGCCTCTGCCCCGAACTCTGGTCCCTCCACTCAAGTCGACTGGCCCGCATCTCGCTCTTCCAGCGATTCCGCCTTAACCTCATCGGCAACCACGGCAAGCAAGGTCAACGGCTCGGCGGACACCTCGAAGGCGGATGGCAACGGGCGCGGCTTGCTGAACGGTTATGCTAAGGGTAACGCGGACATGTCTTATGGCCAGACGAATGGCGCCGTGCCCCAGAATGGCGGACTTGCCGGACAGGCGTCGCGGCGAACGGAGAAGCCGGCGACCGGTTCCAAGAAGTCGGGCTCTATCAATCCACTCCAGCTCGCGTCGACGATCCTCAAGTCCTGCCCGATGTACGACACGATCGCCATTCTGATCTTTCTTTTGCAGCTGCCGCCTATGGTTCTCACTCTGGTTCAGTTCCTGTTTGCTTCCCTGACCTTCATGCCTCCTAGCGGTGCAGCGTCTGGCTCCTTGACCTCCAACTTCGACATCTTTCAGGGCCCCGCCGGAACGCCTTCTCTTGGCACAATGATCGCCATGGATGGATTCTGCTTACTCTTCTGGGGCCTTTTCATGTGGACATGGGCGCAGAACTTTGCGCTCGATTTAGCTCACGTTCAAGTTGCCATTACGCTAGGTGGAGGAGGTTCGGGGAAGAATGGGGGGGTCAATGCTCTCTGCGTTGGCATTGTTCTCGTATTACATCTTATTCGCAGTAAAGGTATACAGGATTTTGTTATAGGTCATCTGCTCTCCGCCAAAATCGTCTCACCTGATTTCTTATCGCAATATTCACATCTCATGCCCCCCGAGTTTCGTCGCACGGAACCGCAAAGCTCCCCAAGTTGGATGCGCAGTCTCCTCGCCGTTCACATCTTGGCTCAAGCAGGCACCGCCATGGCAAGAAGATCGATGGCGAAGAACCGGTCACCGGCTCCCCCTCGCAACGGCAAGCGCGTTGATACCGAAGCCTCTGCCGGGTCGCAGACACAAATCGATTCTGCGTTCGAGTCCGGGGCTAGCGTATCTTCCTACATCGGTGCCGATGGTCAACTCGTTACGCCGGCAACTCATAAGGATGGTAGAGATAGACTCATGTCGGCAAAGAAACGCAGAAGGCAAGCCAATCAGGTCCGGAGCCGTCAACCGTTTTGGGCTGCACTCGCAAGCACGAAGGTGACGGTGATGAGGGAATATGAGCATTCTAGGGCCCTCAACAAAACCGGCAGGGGCCTTATGATGACAGAAGAGGATCTTCAGGGCATTTCGTTGGATGATGGACTTGTTTGGATAACCGAAGTCGATAGCTCTACTATCAAGTTTGCCGCGGGTGACTTCACATCCGTGGATGATCCCGCGCTTTCCGGAGTCTGTGAAACTACTCGTCTGGGAAATGATGAAACGGAACCTTTCTACGTCTGTGTTAACGGCGCATTGTGGGCAACGGCAACGATTACCAAGGTGCAAGACGCTCCGAAGGGGTCAAACACGGTACACTGGCGGGGCGAAGTCTCGGGACTTGCTCCTAACTGTGCCTATACTTGCTCCTTCGTGCGGAGCGATACTGATGAAGAGATCTGTGTCATGAGCGTCAAGACACCTGCTGCAACTGACGCGGAACAAGGTAAGGGAATACCTCGTTTGGCCTCCGGTTCGTCCGAAACAGTTGGCTCACATCGGCCACCAGCAGTCTCTTCGATCCCAACTCCTCCGCAACCTTCTTATCGTCCGTCATCACCAACCACTACGCTCAAGAATTCGATCATCAACGCCGAGGTCAAACTGAATGAGAAACGCGCCCGGTTAAGGAAAGCCAAAAACGACCACAAACTCGTCATTTCCAAAATCAGGAAGGAACTGGATAACTACAACCATCGTCTGCAGAGTGGTACCGATGAGAACCGACAGAAGCAGCGCTCGTTACAGCTCGAGAGAAACATCAAGCAAACGGAGGAAATCACAGCCGCTCTTGAAAGCCAACTCGACAATTTGGAGAACATTCCCGAGGAAGAGCTCGAAGAATGGTCGACCCAGAAGTCCAAGTACGAACGGGAGTTGGAACAACTCAACCTGGCTAAGGAGGAGCTCGTTTCTGCTCGGGCCGCTGTTGCTCGTGAAGTGTCATCATTGGAGTCGGAGCTGAACTCGGCTATCCAGAGAAAGGAACGTCTTCAGGGCCGCCGTACTAGGGTCAACGAACAATACGAGCGGATCGTCTCTGCCAACGCCCAAGGCTTGAATGAGCGGGAGCGCCGTGCTGCGGAACAATTCGCTCGGGAGCAGGACCAGGCGAAGTTAGAGGCCAACTTCAACGAGCAGTTTGCCAGCATCAGCCAATCCGTGCAGGAGTATCAGATGCGCACCAACCAATTGTGGCAGCAAGCTGCTGCTATTGAGCAAGCCATCCAGCAACAGCAACAGCAGATGCTCTTGGATTCTGCCCCGCTTACTCCCGAAGGGAACCTGCCTGGCACCAACCCTCTGACTGAGGCACCTGGCATATCTCTGGGGGCATTGACAACGACTGCGCCCAGCACCCGATCTCTCCTGGGGCTTAGCTTTCCCGCGCTGAAGTCTAGTCCGCTGCAGCATGCCTCGTCCCCTGTTGGTGCCGCGTCGTCCCATCCGACTAGCCCGACACAGCCACCTTCCTATTTGCAACACTTCCCGACCTCTCCGCTTGGTAACACCGGCAACTACTTCGATACAGATTTTAGCTACCGTGACCGGTCTTTTTCCAATCGGTCTGCCCACAGCAGTCTCTACGGTGCTGATTTCTTGGACTCTAATCGTCGTGGTCCCTTCCAGCTCGATCTCTCCGACACGGTCATTGAGAAGCGGATGGATTCGGGCTCCGAGGGGGCAACTCCTAACCCGATCATGAGACCTATCTCCACCCCGTTCCAGCGGGCCGATAGTCGTGGTAGCGGAAGTGGTAGCGGAAGTAGCGGTGCAAGCGGTAGTGGGAGTGGCAGTCCCAGCTCGACGGGTGGCAAGGGCAACTAGGCGAGGTGAAGGGACAAGTCTGTGGTTCTCCCCACGAGCTCCATCTGGCTTGTTCCGGGTTGCGTTATGGTTCCAGTTCCTGCTTGGTCGTGTTCATCTTCAGACGTGATACTCAAGGTTGTATGGTGGTTTACCTGCTTCGGGATTCCTTGGCCCAGACGAGTCCGCGGCCGCCGTGTGTCTTCCGTCTTGGTATTCCATCGCCTGTGAACAAAGAAATCTTGTGTCATATGTAGAGCCTATTCATAATTTGCCGAAAAGCCTGTTTCTGCACATTTCGTGGTTCCATTGTAGATGTTCTTTCTTTCTGGTACGATCGTAGATGGCGTAACCCATTAGTTGCTGGTCAATATTTAGACTCTCCTGTATCTACTACTATATATTCTACACCTGAACATCGATAGAATACTGGAATCGCAACTGTCATGGACACCGTCTTACATGAGTACGTAATAGTAGATAGAGAACGACTGTTACAGACCCCTTAGTATATCCTCATATCCCCGCCCCCCACAACTGCTCAAAACAGACAGTCAATCAAGAAAGTCCTTTCTATTCTATCTATTCATGCACCAAAAATGGGCAGGAGGAGGCTTATGATATAAGACATATATAGCAAAAAGAGAAATGCGACACCTCTGGGACTCGAACCCAGGCGGGCGAACCCACAGGCTAAACAGCTAGTACAGTGATGTAGTAGCAGGCCTGCGCCTTAAACCACTCGGCCAAAGTGTCTGATTGGTGGATTCTGTCTCTAGATGCCTATATCATGCACGCAGCATGGAAGCATTCGCATGCTACATTAGGAAAGTAACTCCACAATACATGATCCGATGACATGATAACCCTGCTGAATAGCATCGAACATGGTTGCAAGTGATTTGCCGCTCCATACCTTCTTCATCATTCCAGACAGCCTACAGTAGACCCTCTTACTCAAGTTGCTGAGAGAGGTTCCTGGAGAAATGACTACAAAACGTACCCCAAAACTAAGTAGTGTATCTACCCAGTCTGCAAAAAGGCCAACGTCTTCCAGCTACACTTCAGAAGGACTAACTAACACCAGTGACAAAATGAGAAGGGGCCACATATCAATGGATATGTAAATATTCGCCACACAAAAAGTTATGAGATAACGACACCTCTGGGACTCGAACCCAGGCGGGCGAACCCACAGGCTAAACAGCTAGTACAATAAGGTAGTAGCAGGCCTGCGCCTTAAACCACTCGGCCAAAGTGTCTGATCGTTGGAGTTATCGTCTTACAAAAAACTATATAACACGCGGGAGAAGCATGCTCGTCTTTATATTCGAGAGGTCTAGGCAGACAACAAATGTATCTGAAATCACGTCTTCAGATAGATGGAGGCTAGACCCATTCTAATAGCATAAAAGTTGTGTGGAATAATGTGCTATTTCATGCATTCGTTCAAGCTGTCAAAAATTACAGTATAAGATGTTATCATTTTACCAGCGAGGAGGGTTAGTGGTTCTTGATAGTAAGTAGGGCAGAAGCTACTCCGTAGCTACCTTCAGAGTTTATACATAAACAGCACCTTCCAGATCCCTGTTGGATAGATACATAGATTGACCATTGACAAAAAGAAAAAGGGCTACTACCTACATATCATTATAATTGATATACGTATATGTTCGCCACACAAAAAGAATTAATCGACACCTCTGGGACTCGAACCCAGGCGGGCGAACCCACAGGCTAAACAGCTAGTACAATGAAGGTAGTAGCAGGCCTGCGCCTTAAACCACTCGGCCAAAGTGTCCAGATCTGGAAGAGTGGCTGCTGGAAGCGGTTTGGAACTGTAGAGTAGTAGTATCTCAGGAGTGAACATCCTGACATAGTGCTGTATTTCAGAAGGGCTCTTACTCCCCGAATTGTCCGGCAAAAAAGGCATTATTGCTGGTGATTTAGAGATAAATTGCGCAATTGCGTTTCATATCTCCTCAGTATCAATCTCGCATGCCGTATAGGGAGAGAACTGAATCATTAGGTCGATGGTCTAATCTGCTAATTAACTACTTCCGAAGTAGAGTAAGTAAGTACCCATGGCACATGCATCCCATCCCGCATACCAACTTAACCATCTCTGCTGGGGTCATCACGTACATATGTGTGCTGTATAATGCAATTTAGCTTAGGGTGGATATGTAGGGACACGCAAGAGATTACCAGGAGCAAACATAGTATTTGATTCCTTCTAATGAGCGTTGTATAGCTACTTCATTCTCACTCACAGCCCTTCCTACACCCATTTTACCTTCAGGATACAGAGTCACTAGAGGCAGCCTCGCCACCATCCAATCAGACACTTTGGCCGAGTGGTTTAAGGCGCAGGCCTGCTACTACATCACTGTACTAGCTGTTTAGCCTGTGGGTTCGCCCGCCTGGGTTCGAGTCCCAGAGGTGTCGTATCTCATAACTTTTTTTTCTACTACTTGACAGTTAATTCGAATTGCCCCTGACGTGCGAGCCTTCAGTGGTGCCCATCATCAAAGGCCTGCTAGTCGTGTTCTCTAACTCATCTGGCTATGTATGAAAAGGCTTTGAAGTTACAATCCCTGTAGTGATCCCAACCATGAATTGGAAGACAAAGCTCTGCTCATGCCTTTGATAACACGCCAAGGGAAATGAAGTATTGCTGCTTTTCAGATAGAGAGCTTGTGTGATCGGATATTTATGTGAGGGCTAAGTTTGCTACATAACTATACAGGTTTAGTTGGGGTAACAACTTTTTTATGGGCCATTGTTTGGCCCACATTGTTTATGGCATTCTATACAGAATATGAAAAGACAAACTGGAGATAGCAATGACTCGGGTAGTAGTAACCTAACGATGCCCAGCAATATATACCCCCGTCACTACTACTTCCGACGGTACCTCATACCAAACGTACAAGAGCCTCCACAATATCCGCCATTGCACGAGTATCATAAGATGCATTGTGATAATTTCGAGATGACATGTTTTCGTTGCCTCTTACGAGGTACTCCCTGACCGATTCGAGTCGCTTTGAGGGGAGATTAGGCAGGATTGGAACTGGATGCTCGTAAGGGTGCAACTAAGATAAGTAAGTGGGTTGTTCCGCAAGTCAAGTGACAGAGATCTGTACCTTATAGAACTCGTTTCGCTATATGGAATGGTGTTGGAAGAGCTGTTGTGGCAACAGCCTAAGGAAGGCATAATCATCGGTTCCAAATTGGTTTGATAAACTCGAGGGTGGTACCCTGTGTTTGTCTGCCCTTGAAGAGCCTTGTTTCATATCTGTAATTTTCTGCTTTACCATGATCCATCTCTGAAATGTTCCTATAGAAATGTGGAGGATCTTTGATGCAGTAGATAATGAGATTGGCCTTTCCTGTCCAGTGATGGGGTTAATGTGCTTTCGTGTTTGACAGAACTTGATCGCATGCAGTCTGTCCTCTCTCGAGTATATCTTGAACGTCCGTTTGTAAAGTCGACGTGCCAGTCTTTTATTTCCTACACTCTCAAGCAAAGACTGCTGGGCATCATCAAGAGGTTTCCAAAGAACAGAAACACTTTCCTGTCTATTTTCAGGGGCTTTCAACAAGCTTGGTGTCTGCAAATCAGACATGGCGGATGAGATACAATTATTATGAACACTCCTAGCTATTCATAGTCAAAGAGAAGATTCATAGGCTCTGGAGGATATCACCATGGCAGGAAAACGCAGTGAAACACAAGAATCATGTGAAGTATGCGTTGAAGAAGCGGATCGGTTATGTCACAGACCTGCCAAGTATCACCGTCGGCCACAAACTTCTTCCCATTGAAAACGTAGGAAATATTGTCACCCCCTTGGAGGAGTTGTGGGAAAGCGAGAATGCCTTTTTTGGTCCAGTCATGCTTGCCGGGCTCCACAACAGGGTCGAACTCCATGCGAAAGGATATTGTTTGGTAGAAGCGAAAATCAGGCCTGAGCCTTGGGTCAACGCCGAACTTGATCAATGCCTTCTTCCATGGACCATTGGTGAACATGTACCCGCAGACCGGCAGAGCTTCGCCAAGGTCGCTTTCACGGCGCAGCTGGAGTTGGCTTTTGATTACCCTGATTGTTACTATTGGGCGGCGCTCCAGGATATCATGAATCTGACGTGCCGTTTCTCTAGTAGACTCATTCAGGGTCGAATACTTATCGATCAGGCGGCTGCCATCTGGAATCTTCGCGGCATCCATATTGACGGTGGCACCTGTGAACTCCAATTCCCCAAGGATACTGACATTATCCTCTACATCTTTGCAGGCTTGCTTAAAGGCATCGATGGAATTGTTACTGGACGTGCTGTAGTCGTCATCGTCGTCACTGTTGCTATCGCTGTTATCGTCGTCAAAGTTTGCGTCGTCTTTAAAAGCTAGCGAGCCTGCAGCCTCATGGCCATAAACAGCTCGACCCTGTATGTCTCTGTACTTTTGTTTGTTTTTGACAACTTTGTTGTCATCGCTATCTCCAGAACTGTTGCTGACCGCATGGGATGATCTTTTAGAGTACATGGTGAATAGTGTTGTTCACGAATGATTGTTGACCTTGACCAAAGCTGCTTTGCCCTGAAAGGAAGCATTGCGATACGCAAGATGGCTCAATGAAATTTGGTATATTGGACTTGAGTAACAGCATTTTGGCGTGTGAGTTAATGAGATGTGTAAGACAACCCTAAAGAGGTGTGGATAAGTGATTAGTGGGGCAATTTGATAGTGTGCAGCCTACGCTGTCACTCATCGATTATATGAAGCCTTCCTTATGCGCTAGTTTGGATCTCGGTGAATAATGGTAATAAATCTAAGACTCCAAAAAGAAAGTAGATGGACAATATCATGCATGTTGCTAGGTGTGTCTATGTGCGAACAACTAAACCACCCCATGTTTTCTGTTAGACTATGCAACTCACACTTAATACTACAATACCTAATTCTTGTTTAATGTACGATGCTCACACGGATTTGGTAAGACCAAGACCTATGGTGTGTTATTCTATGTACATGTAATGGAGATAGTGTTTGCGAGATTCAACTGAAGCCCAGGATATCGGGTATGTATAATATACAGTGGTAAGTAATTCCTTGAGAGCCTTCCAGCACTCGAACAGTATGGTGTGTATGGCCCATATCTAGAGCATCGGGTATAATAAGTGGAGAGTGGCTTGAGTGACCACGGATTCGAAAAGCCGTCTTTCATATCTCGTGGCCCATTTCCCAGAAGTGAGTATTTGCGTACGTCAGGCAAAGGTCTCCAGCTTTTGTCTCGGAGTCAAGGCTCAACAGCTCTCCTGAAAGCGCTCGAACAACAGTTCCCACTACGATCGTGTGGTCCTGGACCTGGATACTCTGAGGGTGGAGCTGACACTCTAATACGAACGGAAAGTCCTCAGATCCCTTGGTCGTAGCATCCTGCTTCCTCTGCAGCAGCGGAAGAGGTCTCCCGGAAGCCTCATCACCACGGAGGGTATGTTCGTGCGCAATAAACTCATAGTCACTCTTCCCCTCCAAGAGGGACAAATTGTGGTTGCCCTTGGAGAAGTCTCGTGCAAGGGTAGCGGTTGTCTGTCGGGGTGCGAGGAGGTGTACAAGGAAGCGCTTCGACGATTGAAGTGCGCTGAGCGTCTCGGAGGGCCGGCGTACGTTGAACGATATGACGGGTTCCGGACTGAGTGTAACGGTGTTGAAGGAGGAGACGGTCATTCCGCGGAAGGCCTTATCTGCCGGACCGTTGGGATCGGTGGCCGTGATGATGGCGACAGGGTAGGGGACTCGTCTCATCAAGAGACGGACTTGATCGGATAAGCAGGCGACATCATTCTTCGTATGCTGAGCCCCTTTCAAGTCGGATTGGGGATTACTAGCGGCTGCGGCGACTTTGGTGACCGTTCTGCGGGATTGCAGTTGACCGTATCGGAGAGCTGTTCCAATAGATGGTGCGCATTGCCCTTTACAAGGAAACGATTAGTTATGCATGACCAATTGCGAGGGCACAAAGCAGACCAACTGACCTGTGAATTGGCCCACCGTCCGACAGGCCGCAAGTATAGATCTAGAGTAAGGAAGCATTATTATCCCGCGGCGGACGGAGCTCGCAGCTCACGGAAAGACGGGCAAGAGAACAGAGGTGAGGAAAGCGACAGAAAGACTCTCGAAGCCCTCCAAAGTCATCATGAAGACGCAGACACAAATTCCTCAGCTGTTCAATGGGCAACCATCCTAGCCACCAGACCGTAGCACGCAAATTGATGGGTTCAAACAAAGTCGAGTTGAAACTCCGCGACAAGAAAAAGAGCAACCCACGGGGTGCTGACATAATCCCTGTCGTTCCGCCCCGAATAATTTGTCTTTGGCCAAAGACAGACTGGAAGATCACCGCAGCAGCGTCGCAGTCTCCAGTCCAATTCTCCCACCTAGGCGCGGTATATTCAATCACCTCGCGGGCGTCCTCTCAATTACCGATTTCTCTTCCGGTCGCCAATAAATAAAACCATGTCCCTCAGCACTCCTCTCCGCCGCACCGCGGCCACCACCTCCCGTGTCCAGACCTCCACCAGCTTCATCTGTTCGCAATGCCGACATGCGTCTCTCCTTCGTCGTCCTAGACGCCCTTACCAATTCACCCAGCTGATTACCCTGACCGACGGCAGCACCTTCACCCACCGTACCTCTTCTCCTCTCCCCGTCTACCGCTCGACTCGTGACACGCGCAACACTCTGCTCTGGAACCCTACCTCAAGCAAGCTGAAGAGCGTTGAGGATGATGAGGCTGGTCGATTGGCGGCTTTCAGAGCTAAGTTCGGTCGCAGCTGGGATGTGAACACGCCTGTGGAGGACTCTTCCAAGACGACGGACAAGTCGGCACAAAGTAAGGAGGCTGCTGCTGCGGAGGCCGCTGCCGCTGCTGAGGAAGAGGACGACAACCTGCTGGATTTGATCAGTTCGTTTGGTCAGGAGGAGCAGCAGGCATCTCAGAAGAAGAAGAAGGATTGATCTAAATGATTGATTTGATTGGGTTGGATTGAATTGAATTGTGCCGGGGTGTATGTATGATGATAGTGTGGGCGATTTATGGACCTTTTATTCCAGTTTCTTTTATTTTATTTCTCTCGATGGTGTTGTTATACGATACAGATCTTGTTAGGCTTTATGTACATTACATCATACCATTTGAATGGAGTTTCAGCATCGGTGGTTCAAGACTTTCTTTTTCTGGGGTGTAATCATTGCACTTTCTTTGAGTTGATGTGGATGAACAAGGTTAAAGTCATTACTATACTACATTGGAGAAGCCATTGATACCAAGGCGCTGCTGTAATGATCCATCCCATTGAATACGTATGAATGACTCGCCATAAGAAAATGAACAAACGTGCGCCGCTCCTCTCAGTAAGCAGGCAAAGTGATAATTAACGTTGGGTAATACCGCAAAGCGGAGGGTGGAGGGGACATCAACAAGTCGTCGCTTTTCTTTTGTACAGAGTCTGACAGGTAGGGAAACCGCCTATGCCTCCTCTGCCGGAGTAGCTTCAGCGGTTTCCTCCACCACAGGGGGCACCGAAGCGTCGCCCACTCCTGCGGTGCCGTAGAGGGGATTTCCTTCTTCACCCGCATCCAGTTGCAAGAGGAACGTTTCCCAAAGCTCGATCAACTGTGAGGCCTATGTTAGCAAACATTTGTGACAATTGTATACCTGACAAGTAGCTGCTCACCTCTTTTTGGGCTTCCACTGCACTCTCCAAAAAGGTCTCAACGCCAGATTTGAAATCCTCCACCTTCTCCTTCTCGAACCGCTGGAGCTCATTGCGCATAAGCCGACCCATATCCTCGAATAGTAGCCGAGCCTGATGAACCTTTCTCTCGGCATCGGCCACATCGGCATTGACTTGGGTCAGACGATCCTGCTGCGTCTTGCCCTGCCTGAGGAGCTTCTCTTGCGTATGCTTGCGCTTCTGCATTTCCGCTTCCGCCGCGTGCCAGCTGTGAAAAGCCTTCTGGCGCTGGGAGAAAGCTGTCTTCACACTTCCAATCAAACGAAGATACTCGTCAATTGTGATTCCCAGAGTGAGAACATCCTGTTGAGCTTGGCGTTCGTACAGCTCCCTTATGCGTAGCTGTAGGTCGGAAAGGCCGTCCAGGGGGGTAGAAAGCGCAGGAGACAGCTCGACAGCTGCCAATGCATGAAGGGAAGCCGAAAAGTCGCCAGCAGCCTCAGCCAATCCTTTGCGCTGCGCCACCACTGTGTCGACCGATTTCATCAATGCCTTCAACTGATTCTCCAGGGCGTCCATGTAGATCTTGCGGTCATGGAACCACTGAAATTGTCAGCACGGCTACCTGCTCGCACTCATAGACAAACTTACATCATCATGCTCGACGAATTTTCCACCACCACCGACGTTAATGCCAAAGGAACTGAACATGCCCTTGTTCTGGCCAAGGTCGGGTTCCCTGTTTTCCTTGTTTTTCACGTCCATGTTAAAGGTTTCGCTCTCGAGGAAAATCTTAAGATCGCCATCATGCTGGAGAATAGGATGTGCCGCGATTTTGTTCAGCATCCGCTCAAGAGCAGCCCTCCTAGACTCGACAAAGTTCGTATCGAAACGGCCCACCGCTTGCTTCTCCGGAGGAGGGGGGACAACAACACCGGGGTTGTTGTTATGCATTGAGTTATAGAGCCAAAGGAAGTCACGGTATCTGCGGCTGACAGTAAACTCCGGTTGTCGGTAGGCTTTGGAAGTCGTCTATATGTAGCATGAGCAGTGTCCCACAGCATCCCACTAAAACGACATACCTTGGTTCTCACTTGATACACAATATGACTGCTGGTGAGGTCTCCAACTTTGTGCGGATCGCCGACAGTAATATCGAAGGTCGGGTTCGCAGCCTTTTCCACACTAATACTGGGTTCTGATTGCCGTTTCGCCCCTTCCGCCTCACTCGGGGGTTGTACCGGCGGAGGTCCTCGAAATCCTGCACCATCCTCTTCCAGGTTCACGGAATCCGCCAAGCCAGTTCCTGCGGACGCTTGGGAGGCAGATGATGTGGGACGAACATTGCGCCCTGAGAACTCCTTCTGCGGCGGGGCAGGTGCCTGCTCAAGGGGACTAGTTTCCGCCTTATCCCCGAGCGGACCAAGGGGATCAAACGAGTCACCCACCGCCTCTAACTTCGTCGCTTGCGCATTGATCCTTCGGGTGCCTCGCGGGCCTCGTCGTACAGGGGAACGGGGGGCACTGGGGCTAGCTTGTTGTGTCGGTTGGTCGGGAGCTGGGGGAGATGTCGTCATCAGGTTAGAAAGCTCGGACAAGAGGGACAGGGATGCAAGATGCTCTTTAGGGACATACACGTTTCCTCTACTTCGGAGCGGGATGCTTGATGGGTGGTGCTCGATTGCGAAGGCACGTCTGCATACCTGCGTTAGACGAAGCACGATGCGATTGTATCCGTGACTGCCTGGTTGCTTACCGCCCCACGGGGAGTCACCAGCGTCAAGATCCATGAGAGACGTGGGTATCAAACTGGGATAGATCGGAAATCAAGAAATATCAATTAAGGGTAGGAATTAGCTGGAGAATTGAAAGACGGCGTGAGGGGTTGGGGAGAGACTGCAGTCGGGGGAGTTGGAGGGAGCGACCAGGTTGCCGTAGTCCGATGATCCGCGCCGCTGTCCAACTACGGATTAGGGTTCCCCCGCCAAGCTTGATGGAGGACCTTCTCAGGCTGACCTCCATTTGAACTTGAAACTCTTCCCAATGTTTCTCTATGAAAATGTCTTTTCTGTCTATACAAAGACATGTGGATTTCTGTTCAATGTTTACAGTTTGGTGAGCTCTAGCACTTGGCAAAGAACACACTGGCCTGGTGGATGGATTCCAATACCAAGCCAGTACATTCCCCGAGATACAAATTAAGCACTCAAATTCCCGGCCCCTGCCTTTACAAAGAAGTACTGGACTACAATATTTCTTCAAGTAAATCAGTTATTTATTTCATATGTATCATCATCATAGCCGTGCGGCCCAAGACAGAAGACCTCCAACTGCTGGACTACAAAGAACTGAGCGTTTTAGCGAACAATTCCTTCAACTACGTTTCTTTCACCCAAGGAAGACCAAGCTTGTGCATCTCAACAGCAAGCTGGAACAGGTAGTCTAGACTCTCGCACTGAGTCTTGGCTTTGACGACGTCGTCTCCCCACACATAACTAGACACATACATGAGCCCGCCGTCACTCAAAAGTCAAGGGTTAGAAGATGAGAACTTACATTCCGTGTCTCCGCACAAGGACAGCATAGGTGTCCGGGTATTCCTCCATCGCCTTCTCCAAGCTTCCCGTGAGGTCTTCCTCGAACGCGGTGTTGTCGATGATCGGGATGCGAAGAGTATCGTAGAATCCCATCATGCCCTTGCCCTTGCCACGGGGGATACCCTTGATTTGCTCAATGTTGCTGATTTCGAAGCAGGCGTTCGGGCCCTTCTCGCGCTCAACCAGGAGTGTCACCAGGACCGCCCACTGAGAATGAGTGTGGATACAGCAGCCAGCCCCGCGCTCAAAAGCGGCAAGGAACAGTGGCGTGCATGCCGAGGGCTTCAGGTCGAGCGGCTTGCGAATGTATTTGCGATCGGACGGAGGGTACTTGGGCGTAGGGAATTCCAAGACAAAGATGTTGTCGGATTTCATCATCTCCTTCTGCACACCAGAAGGAGCAATGAATATATGGTTATCGCGACGAATGGAAGTCTAATGCGTGATGAATAGTGTTCAATTAGCGATTAATCACGATCGCTCTGGAGGTGCAACAGTGCTTACCCCGCCACCAGTACCGGTGACCCAGCCCCAATTGTAGAACCGGCGACAGAGATCAGGGATCAAGTTGGCGGGATGCTCGGGGTCAGACGACTGGACCAAATGGTCATTGTTCTCCTTTTGGATTTCTTGGGCCATGGTGATGGATATTGCGCGTGGTTGGGGGATCGATTAGATAGGAAGAGACAGCTCGGGGCGATCGGCTTTAGAGTGATTGTCACGAATCCTCAAGCGCTAAATCTGCAGTAGATCTTCCCTAGATCCTGCGATAGGAGAAATAGATCTATATATTGAAAATACAGCGACAGTGCCTTGGACGTCGTACAGGTGAGGCAAGAGGAGGTTTGACAGAAAAATAAAAAAACTGTCAGGCGGCGGGGAGGGGAAAGCAGAAGCAAATCACCTCACTAACGCCTTTGGGTGGATTAAGGTAGCGGGGGGAGTGTGTTCGCGCCATCGCCGACCATTGGTGGACAAGCAACGGAAGAAGGAAGTAATCCATCTAGTAGTCTGAACAGCGTGAGCCTGTGTAAATCATAGTTCCCAAGAGAAGGAATAACCGGATCTTTTATGTAGGTCATTGAAGATGGACCACAAGGTCCTTTACTTCATCCAGTAATAATACCTACTGTAAACATTCTTAAGCTGCCGAGAAATAAATTACATATGACAGTGACTGGATTCCAATTCCATGAACTGCAATTCTTCTAGACTCTGGGTCTACTTACTAAATTAAATACATCCCGAGGAACGGACAAATACCAGCAGCCGATTTGCACCCGCAGAACATTGGAGAAGCGCGACTAGCCAGATCGGGCAGGCGGGACCTTTCCACAAGGAGCAGCGGCAGCGGAAGAGGCCACCTTGAACTTCCCAGCTTCATGCATTACCTTGCGTCTTCTTATATAACCATCGCTCCAACGGTTCCCTTCTTTCTCTTCTCCTCTCCCTTTACCTTCCCCGTGCAGCTACTTGACTGTTGAGCTTGCCTTCCTCTCTCTCTGATCCACGTTCACCCTCTCCGGAGGTTCAATTGCTGGTGCGCTTTGTTCGCCTTTGTTTGTTTTTCTTCTTTTCTTCCTCTCTCGGACGTTCTGGTTCAAGAGCGCCGGTCGCTATCCACCATGCGTTTCAACGCTGCTTTGACTTCTGCCCTGGTCTCCTCGGCCTCCATCATGGGCTATGCCCATGCTGAGGAGACTGAGAAGAAGCCCGAGACCACCTCCTTGGCCGAGAAGCCTACTTTCACCGTGAGTATCTCCGGAGACCGACAAGAGGTGCTGCCGCGCCCTGCTAACTACGTGCTTCCAGCCCACCTCCATCGAGGCTCCTTTCTTGGAGCAGTTCACCGATGACTGGGACTCCCGGTGGACTCCCTCTCACGCTAAGAAGGAGGACTCCAAGTCTGAGGAGGACTGGGCCTATGTTGGTGAATGGTCCGTCGAGGAGCCCACTGTCCTCAAGGGTATGGAGGGTGACAAGGGTCTCGTCGTCAAGAACGTCGCTGCCCACCACGCCATCTCGGCCAAGTTCCCCAAGAAGATCGACAACAAGGACAAGACTCTGGTCGTTCAGTATGAGGTGAAGCCGCAGAGTAAGTGTGACAATTGCTGCGCATGCTCGGTGCTGGGACGCTAACGATAGTCACAGACTCCCTTGTCTGCGGTGGTGCCTACCTGAAGCTTCTCCAGGATAACAAGAAGCTCCACCTCGACGAGTTCTCGAACGCGTCTCCTTACGTGATCATGTTCGGTCCCGACAAGTGTGGTGCTACCAACAAGGTAAGAAGGATCTTGCTAAACGCTGCTTACTGCAGGTGACTGCAACGGGGACTAACAGCTATTCTCTTAGGTTCACTTCATCTTCCGTCACAAGAACCCCAAGACCGGCGAGTACGAGGAGAAGCACCTTAAGGCCCCTCCTGCCGCCCGTACCTCCAAGGTCACCTCCGTCTACACCCTGGTCGTCAACCCCGACCAGACCTTCCAGATCCTGATTGATGGCGAGTCCGTCAAGGAAGGTTCTCTCCTTGAGGACTTCAACCCCCCTGTCAACCCCGAGAAGGAGATTGACGACCCCAAGGACAAGAAGCCCGCCGACTGGGTTGATGAGGCCAAGATCCCCGACCCTGAGGCTACGAAGCCCGAGGACTGGGACGAGGAGGCTCCCTTCGAGATTGTCGACGAGGAGGCTACCATCCCCGAGGACTGGCTTGAGGACGAGCCCACTAGCATCCCCGACCCCGAGGCCGAGAAGCCCGAGGACTGGGATGATGAGGAAGATGGCGACTGGGTTCCTCCCACTGTTCCCAACCCCAAGTGCCAGGATGCCTCCGGATGTGGTCCTTGGTCTCCCCCCATGAAGAAGAACCCTGATTACAAGGGCAAGTGGTCTGCTCCCTTGATTGACAACCCCGCCTACAAGGGACCCTGGGCTCCCCGCAAGATCGCCAACCCTGCCTACTTCGAGGACAAGACCCCCTCCAACTTTGAGCCCATGGGCGCTGTAAGTGTACCTCTCCATTGTGAGGCTCAGGCTTTGAGTGACTAATGATGATGCAGATTGGTTTCGAGATCTGGACTATGCAGAACGACATCCTGTTCGACAACATCTACGTTGGCCACTCCGCTGAGGATGCTGAGAAGCTGCGCCAGGAGACCTTCGATGTCAAGCACCCCGTTGAGCTGGCTGAGGAGGAGGCCAACAAGCCCAAGCCTGAAGAGAAGGCCGCCGAGCCCAGCGTTAGCTTCAAGGAGGACCCCGTGGGCCACATCAAGGAGAAGGTTGACAACTTTGTCCGCCTCTCTAAGCAGGACCCCATCAACGCCGTGAAGCAGGTTCCTGACGTTGCCGGTGGTCTTGCCGCTGTTCTCGTCACCATGATCCTCGTCATCGTCGGAGCCGTTGGCGCCAGCACCCCGGCTCCTGCTCCCGCCAAGAAGGGCAAGGAGGCTGCTGGTGCTACCAAGGAGAAGACCGGTGCGGCCACCAGCTCCTCCGCGGACACTGGCAAGGGTGGTGCTACCAAGCGCACTACCCGCTCTTCTGCTGAGTAAACCGGTGCAGCTATCAGTGGAACAGCACGCAGGGATGAAAGGAGAGATTAAAGGCGAAAAAGTCAAAACAAACAAACAAACCAGGGATATCCTAACTACATTGTGTTTTTATTTTATACCTCTGTTGCAGCGTTCAATCAATGATTCATTCTGATTCCATGGTGGAAAGGCCAGTGGGGCATCAGCTACCGCCTATACAAGGAAGAGGATAAGCAGACCTCAATTGGGGGGTTTCTTTGGGAGGAGGTTAATGCAAGTGAAATGTGTAAAAGTAGCCAAGCTGCAGAATTCTACTGTTGGTTTCTCTAGTTCACGGAATGATCGGATAGTTTTTGGTAACTTTTCCAGCGGTGTCACAATTTTGTGACCGATCGTCTGGGGTCCGAGGTTCCTGTACACCGTCATCGGAGAAGGGCCGATGATACCCGCCTCTTGCCCAGGAGTTTCCATCCCCGAAAAGACTTGATAAAGGTATTGCAGTTCCCATGAAGGGCGAATGTAGCTATACGGGGACTACCTACAGATAGCTTATAGTAGTCGGCATTGAATGCTCTCTCCAGACCAGCGAGCTAAATATGCTGCGAAATTACCCCATAAAATGGCTGGATCGGGCAGGCAGTTCCGGGTGACCATGTGATTGGCTGGAGGCGCCGAGCGTTATCAGAACCTCGGCGGAATGCACATCAATACGGGGAAAGTACCAGACCCAGTATGAACCTGGTACCTGAACGGCCTCCACCGTATTTATCTACTTTGCCTCCCTTCCTGCTGTCCTCACCTCCTCCCCCTTGGATTATTTTCCTTGCTCTTGCCCGTGATTTAGAATTCTTCCTCAAACCATTGTCCTTCTGACCCCGATCATTCATCTCTCACGTTTATAATCTTCCATCTTTCAATCATGGCCGCCCGTCGGTCTATTGTCCGTTCCATCCCCGCTCTCCGCGCCGCATCTCCCCGCACGGCCGTGGCCACCTCCAGATCTGTAGCTGCAGCTTCGGCCTCGCGGCGCCTTTCTACTGTTATAATGCCCTCGTCGTCCTCGACATCTTCTCCTGCAACATCTAAGCTCTCCTCATCTTCTCCTGCCACCATGTCAGCAACACGTCGACTCCACGCCACTGCCCAGCAGTTCACCCCCGCAACTACCTCCGCGGCTACTACCGCCACCGAGTACCCGACGGACCATAGCCCCATCGCCAACCCCATCGACACCGCCAATTTCCTGGACAACCAGTTTGTTGCTTCCAAGGCTACCACCTGGATCGACCTGCACGATCCTGCCACCAACAACCTCGTTACTCGCGTGCCGCAAAGCACCGATGAGGAACTCCGTGCCGCCGTCGAGTCGGCCGAGAAGGCCTTCCCAGCCTGGCGCGCTACCAGCGTTATCGCCAAGCAGCAGATCATGTTCAAGTTCGTGAGCTTGATCCGTGCCAACTGGGACCGACTTGCTGCATCCATCACCCTCGAGCAGGGCAAGACCTTTGCTGATGCCAAGGGTGATGTTCTCCGCGGCCTTCAAGTCGCCGAAACAGCATGTGGTATTACCACCCAGCTCACGGGCGAGGTGCTCGAAGTGGCCAAGGATATGGAGACCAGGAGCTACAGAGAGCCCCTAGGTGTGGTTGCTGCCATTTGTCCTTTCAGTAAGTGATCCTGCAGCCATCCTGCAAGCTAGGTGACATTGTCCGATGCTAACCGCGACCCCTCCCCTTCTCGGCAGACTTCCCCGCAATGATCCCCCTGTGGTGCATCCCCATCGCTACCGTGACGGGCAACTGTCTCATTCTTAAGCCATCTGAGAGGGACCCCGGAGCTGCAATGATCCTGGCTGAGCTGGCCCGGGAAGCAGGCTTCCCTCCCGGCGTCATCAACATTGTTCACGGCTCCGCTAAGACCGTCGACTTCATCCTCGACGAACCCGCCATCAAGGCCATCAGCTTCGTCGGTAGCAACCGCGCGGGAGAGTACATCTACACCCGCGGCTCTGCCAATGGCAAGCGTGTCCAGGCCAACCTGGGCGCCAAGAACCATGCCGCCGTAGTCCCCGACTGCAACAAGAACCAGACCCTGAACGCTCTCGTCGGAGCGGCTTTCGGTGCTGCTGGCCAACGGTGCATGGCCCTAAGCACAGTGGTCATGGTCGGCGAGACCCAGGAATGGCTTCCTGAGATGGCCGAACGGGCCAAGGCACTGCACGTCAACGGAGGCTTCGAAGAAGGCGCCGACCTCGGCCCCGTCATCAGCCCCGAAAGCAAGAAGCGCATTGAGGACCTGATCGCCAGCGCCGAAGAAGAGGGTGCGACCATTCTTCTCGACGGCAGAGGCTACAAGCCAGAGAAGTACCCCAACGGCAACTTTGTAAGCCCCCACCCATACCCCATCTATTTAACCATATCTTCCTCTAACCAATATCAACCCCACAGGTCGGCCCCACCATAATCACCAACGTAACCCCCGAAATGAAGTGCTACAAGGAAGAAATTTTCGGCCCCGTCCTCGTCTGCCTGTCCGTGCCCACACTAGACGACGCCATCGAGCTCATCAACAAGAACGAGTACGGAAACGGAGCTGCCATCTTCACCCGCTCCGGATCTACTGCCTCCCGCTTCCAGAAGGACATCGAGGCCGGCCAGGTCGGCATGAATGTGCCCATCCCTGTGCCGTTGCCCATGTTCTCTTTCACCGGTAATAAGAAGAGTATTGCCGGTGGTGGTGCTAATACTTTCTATGGTAAGCCCGGGTTGCAATTCTTTACCCAGCAGAAGACGGTGACTAGTTTGTGGAGGAGTGAGGATGCTGTTAGCACTAAGGCTCATACTGTCATGCCTACTCATTCGTGAGGGGGGTCTGTTGGTTGGTTGAAGGGGAAATTTATGATGTTAGGTTGCATCGGACATGATCGTTTTCTATTATAAAATACCATTGAGTTTATGATTTCGGGGTTTCTGGCTGTATGGCATTGATTTAGTCAATCGCATGCTCCAATTTGTCTCTGCGTTCATCTGCTCATACTATCCTCGTGCGGATGTGGTCGATATTTTAACCAAAACGTGGTGCCTGCATGTGATCTAATATGGTCTTCTACGCTTTGTGACTACCATGCCTGTTTGGATGATTTACGAAATATATCGGGATATTGAAATCTGTTTTCTAGGGAACATATTGATACTTTATTGTGTGGGGCATCCCTAGTCAGAACTAGTGCGGACAGAATGTCTGCAGCCACAGCTTGCAATGGAGCCCCGCCTCTAGGGGTTTAGTGTTAGGGCAGTCACTACCCTGTCTGCCATGCATTCTTTCAATAATAAAAGACAGGTTCCGAACAAGAGCATCTCACGTAGGATGCCTCTACTCAGTCCGTGGCTTTACGAAGCTGTAGACCAGCCGGGCCAGCTTGTAGGTTTTGCCCTTGACGACAGCAACACGGCGAGTGTAATAGCGCTTGCCGTCAATGATCTCGAAACCCCAAACCTATTTATCTTGCATCAGAACATGTCAAAGGACGAAAATCATGAAGGAAAAACGAACCTGTTCGGCAGTCCAGCCGCTGTCCAGGTTCTCCACAAAGCTGAGATACCAGAGCCCCTCTCCCTCGCCAAACTCTTCACCGATTTCCTCAACCACAAAGCCCTCGGATGCACTTCCGTCGGCTAGAATCTCCCCTCTAAGGAATTTGTAGACCTCGGGTTCGTCGATCTTGGTCTCGAAATCTGTATAAGGGCGCACCTTTCCGTCCTCGCCCTTAGATCCCCGGAAGAAGCGCGACTGACCTTTGAGATGGCCAAAGATGTGGTCATCGTGCTCTCGTACCTTGTTGTCACTGATACGTCTCTCGGTTGTACCTTTGATGCCACCAGTGACCGTCTGGTCGATGTCGATGTGCCATATAGTCGGATCTGCGGCATCGGGATACTCATTGATGGAGAGAGTGACTGTTGCGACACTGAGAGCTTTACGCATGAGCCAGCTCATTCCTTGCTATTCCATCCACGGGGCAGTATGTAAGCAAGAGAGGTATTGCCTTGAGTTGGATATATGATTGACTTGTAGAGCCCAAAAGGGTGGGGTGTGAGACTTACCAGCTCGAGAATGGGTTCTGAAGGGTTGGAGAGAGTTTTGTCCTAGGATCAATCATGTCAGTATATATCTTATGAAATTAAGGTAAAGTATCAGTGTACCATTGTCCACTCTCCATTGAGGGTCTTGAGGTTGCTGTCTGCGGGGGCAGCCATGGTGATGGTACGATGAGGGGTGACAGTGATAAGATACGGAAATTGAAAGTAGGCGGGTTACAGGTAAGAATGGGTGATGGGGATGATGATCAGGACGACAATTGGTCTGATTGACAGTGGTTGTACGAGATTGAGCTGGGGGAGTGGAAGAGGAACTTAAGTGGACGTGGAGCAGCGCTGACAATCCGACTACTTATATGCTGCAGGAGTAACTACTAGATGGGGCTTCATGTGATGGGCTCCTTCCATTTCTATCGCCGGATTGTGACTTCCGCCGAGGCATCTGACACGTGCCACCGCCTATTTCATATTGATTTGGCGACTGGCATTCTTGAGTAGTACTACTAGTACTACTAGTAGTAGCAGAAGGTGCGCAATGGTTCGCCGTGATAGACGTTGCTCCAGTCTGGTACAGATGGTGTGATGGATCGACCATTCGGTTGCGGACTATTTATTTTCAAGCTGTAAATAATGGCCCGGAGTATTTGTTGACCGACTGGCACATCCCAGTAATTACTACATGTAGTAACCTCCATCTAGAAATAATAACATCATACTTAGCTTAGCTAGTTGTACCCATACCATATTACCATTCAATCGAATCCAGCAACTATGTCTTTGTTCATGAAAGGTAAACACACTGAAACACTCATAGTCAGGTACCCGTCTTTTTGAATACAGCCGTTCATGCCTCAGGCCACCAATGATGATGCCCCTTTCACGTGCCCGCCCGCGGAGGAGCCCCAAATCCACCCAGCATCAATCACTCTTTAAGTTTCACCTGCTGTGCTTCTGTAAATATACCCTGCCTGTCCTTGTCTCTTGTCGGCCATTACTTTGCTATTAGAAAAGCAATTGGCCATGTCCTTTAATAGGAAGTATGCCGGTCTCCCCGACCTGGTACGTTATGCCCATCAGTCCTTCTCCTGCCCCATCTCTATTTAACCCGACTACTAACATCGTTTGTTTGGGCCAGGATCTCGCTCCCGATATCTACGAAACCCCCGATCTGACCGACGAAGCATCCACCGTTCCGGTTAGCCACCCCGCCTGACGCCTGTGTAGGCCTTTGCAAAAGTATCCAACTGCTTATCCTTTATACTATGTCCCATAGACTACAACTATCCGCACCGCATCCAATGCAGACGACGATGCCGGCTCCAACTCCGACATCGACCGCCAGGGTATCAACGCAGATGAAGCACGCGCCCACTTCCTAGGAGCCACAGTCGACGCGCGCGATGTCAACTTCTCCGACAGCATCGCGATGAAGCGGAAGGCGTACAAGAACAAGAACCGTCGCCGGCGCAGGAACGAGAACGGTCTAGAAGAGCCCGAAAACATCAGCGACAGCGAAGATGAGAGCCTCGAGAGGAAGCTCGCCCGCCTCCGCAGGGAAGTAGAAGAACTGAAAGACGAGATGGCTGCTCAACAGACCGAAACCGAGCCAGAAGCCGCAGAAGGAAAGGAGCCCACGGACGACGGAGTCCTCGAATTAAGCCGCGCCCTGGACAACCTCTATACTTCCCGCAGCGACAACACAGGATCACATTCCGCAGCTACACTTCTAGCACAAAAGATCGCAACCAAATCCGCATCCCAAACCGCTGCACCCAGTACTCAGAACGCAGACGCCACACAACAACCCGAACCAACAGCCCCCGCATCCTCCGGCGTCCTCGCCCACGCCGCAGCATTTGACGGCCGTCTCGCCCTCATCGAAGCCGCCATGGGCATCTCCAGCTCCTCCAACCCCTTCGTCAGCGACGGAATCTCCGAACCCGCGCTCCAGCCCGTCCTCCCAGCCGTCGACCACCTCACATCCCGTCTCACCACCCTCATGAATATCCTCGTTGGCCCGAACCCCGTCTCCGCCGTGCCAACCATGGGCTCCGCACCCCCATCCACAACAGTCACCACCCCGCATCTCGAGACCCTCTCCACCCGAGTCCGCAAACTCACCGCAGACACAGAAGCCCTTGCCTCCGCGCGCAAACGCGCCGTGGACGCCGCCAAGGCAGCTCAGAACGCGCGCATCGCATCCGCCGCTATTGAGCCCTCAGACATGTCCGTATCCTCGTCCTCCGCTACGGAGGTCGATCCGGCTGCTACCCAGCGCGATGAACAAGCCACCAAGATCCAGGCCCTCTACGCTACTCTCCCCACGATCCAATCCCTCCACCCCATCCTCCCCAGCGTGCTAGAGCGTCTCCGCTCCCTTCGCGCTATTCATGCAGGGGCAGCACAGGCCTCCGAGTCACTCGATACCCTGGAGAAGCGACAGGCAGACATGGCAAGAGAGATCGAGCAGTGGCGCGAAGGCCTGCAGGTAGTCGAGGAGAAGATGGGACAGGGCGAAGCAGCAATGAAGAGTAATATTGAGCTTGTGGAACCTTGGGTCCGAGATTTGGAGGCTAGATTGGATCGATTGGAGGGGCAAGGCGCATGATTGGGGAATTTTGTGAAATAGTATGAACATATAACCACTAAATTTCTTGTAACTGTAGCTGGTCGATAGTAGTGCTGGGTACTCATATACCAATTTTTGTTTAAGCGGACTAACAATTACCATTACCGAACAATAACACGCAATAGTGTATATCAGAAAGGGAAACCTACGAAGACACACTGGCACATGGGTAGTAAGTCTCTACTAAGCCCACGATGAATGATATGTTTTATCACGATGATATATGATATATGTATGGTATTTTATACTAGTACTAAGTTAGTAGTAGCAAATCATACTTTGATATAGAGCTTGCATAGTACATGAGATCTGCTTCAGCCATTGGTAATTGCTAGATCCACGCAATGGGCATGCTGATAGGTGTAACTATAAGAAAAGCAGAATCTCGAAGAAATAGGACTCCGTAATACTACGAGAGTGATTTATTTCCTAGCGCTTGCGTATACTCCTTGTATAACTGTACTCAGGTCGCGCTTTTTGGGGGTAGTATAACAAAGTCACAGTTTTCATATTAGTACCTGTAGAAGATGGGAATTTACTCGGTAGTGAAACACTACATGGAAACAATCTCAAATCTTCCTATGATATAAGCCCTTCACTGGAAATCCCAATCCCCCTGAGGATCCCATTTTGCTTTCAAGGAATTCAACCACTCCACAACCGGGACTTCTCGGCCCCCAACCAGATACCCATCATCTGCAACAGTAGCATCCATAAGGACTCTGCGCCGGAATGCGCGAACATGGGCCTTCGCATCCCAGGGTGGAACCCGCACATAATCATGCTCGATGTGGCAGAGAGACATCTTGAGCGCCCCGTGTTGGAAGCGATGGAAACACGACTCACATAGGGCAAAATCATAGCAGAACTTGCAGGCATACATGCTCCTGTTCGTGTCTAGGACGCATTCACACGCATCACACAAATAATCATACTTAGCATCGCTGAGTGCTCTAGTATATCGGTTCATGGATTCAAATAGTGCCTCATAAGACTTCATCTTGGCTGCGTCATCATCATTCCAGGGGGTCTCGTTCATCAACTTGTTTCGGCTTCGCCGCATGAATTGCACAAGTTCTGCAAGTTTGTACCAAACGCCGATCGGTTTGTTGCAGTTTTCTTGGAAGAACTCCATAAGCTCGGTAGCTTCCGGTGTCGTGGTTTTCTCATCAGACCGTAGCCACTCTTTCAAAATCTCGACATCCAAGACACGACGAGCTATAAGCGAATAGGCATTAAGAAAGTTGACTCGATCACCGGTATAAAGGAAGATTTGAACTAGACGGATAAGACCGCCCACATAATTACCAGTCGTGTCATCAGATAGTAAGTCAAATGCCTCTCTGATGTTCTCTTGCAAGAGCGCTTCAGCATCCGGTTGTTTTCCATGCCGGATGAAATCTGTCGCCAGGTATGTCTTCGCAGCAGACATGCCATGAACTATACCCCTTTGGTTGTGGTATACTTCCTTTAACTTTTGAGAATATATCTCAGCGTTATCAGGGTCTTTCAATGTCTGTGTGAAGTAATAACAGCCCAATTGCCGCCCAACTCTGTCCAGTAGAATGGCACCAGCAGACTGGTACTTGAGTTTCTCCATAATGATTCCAGCGCATTCTGTCCACGCTTTGACCGCCTGATTAGCATAAGAAGGGTCATCTGAATAGCATGCATATGCCATCCCTTTATGCAAAAGTAAGGTGGTCCATGTTTTGACCCGGTTCTCTGCCTTTGCATTATCGATTGCTGTCTGTATGTTTCCCAGTAAGAAAGCGAAGTCATCGGCAGAGGAGGAGCATATAGAGCTAATAGTGTAAGGCAGGTTCATCATCTGAGTGTCGTCGTAATCACTATCTTCGATGGCCATCTGAATCACTAGACCCAGATGCCGCATGGGGCCTGAAGCCGTTCTGAGCTTCAGTGTGTCGAGAACCAGGTCGCTCAGCTCCTCTCTGCAGTCGCGAGACCACAAACTCTTGATTAGCGCATATCTGGCGTTGATATTGCTGGCGCTCAAACCCAGGGCTTGCTTGAGGTATTGCAAAGCTTGGTCCTTGTCCCCAGCCAGTGATGCTAGACGGACCAAGACTTTTCCTTGTCGTTCCTGGTCAATGCCTCCCATCCGCTCCAGTAGCTTACTGGCCTTAGGAATGAAAAATGTGAGCTGCCTTCATGACGGAGGCAAGAATACCTTTGGAAGAACTTACCTTATGATATTTCTTGAAAGCTTTCTTGTAATTATTGGCATACTCATATGTTTCGGCTAGCCGTTGTACCCAAACATCTTGTTCGCGCATGCGGCTTGGTCCCAGTACCTTCTCGCACCATTTCTCAGCCTTTGTAACGTCATCATCTTTGATGCTATCATTATACTCGAAACTATGGTCATCATCCTCTTCGGAGCTAAAGTCCGAATTTTGGCTGGCATAATCGAATTCTGCATCCTACTACAAGTCAGCTCAAGGCGCAAATCATCTCGGAAGAGAGAAGTCATAACACACCATATTGAGAAAAGCCCTGAGCCA